TTTGAATAATCTTAAATTCCAACTTACTATTACCATACTTATTCGTCTGCTATATAGAATTCTTACAAGCCCGCCAATTCTTATACCTTAACTAACACTTAAAGTAATACTCCTTCTCAATAAAGTCCTATCAATAATACTATTGCATCTAATGAAGCTTAAGTGGCATAAGAAACTCAAGTAACTGAAGCAGTTATTGCTGAAAATACAAGAAAAGGTGATACTAGTTCAACATTTGAAGTATTAAATACCCCAATTACTGTAATAGAAACAGTAGATGAAGGATAAAAAGCTCCTATTAAAGATTCTCTTATTTTTAAACTTGAAGTAAAGTTATAGTCCCAAGTCAACTTACAAGTATCCCTCAACTTATTCATCCTACTATACTTATAAGTCAATTTAATAGATAGTGTATAAGCCAGTTTATAAGTCCTCCTACTACTCTTACACTCCAACTTACAAGACACCGAACTTTAATACTTATACCTATTATTATAGTTACACTGAAACTTAAGGAAATGATGATAAATAACCAACTGAACCTATGGCTAACCCAATGGCAATGATACATTACAATCTGCTGCTAATGATTCTGTAGAATCTTAAAGCTATCTGAGAGACAGTTTAGTCCTTAGATCTAGTTATAACAGCTCATCAGGAGGTAGTAGTGGATCTTTCCTAGCCCTTGGTATTTTTTTTTTGAGCTGTTGCTCTAATCTTTGGCTGTATCGTGCTCTATAATAAGTGTAACGAATAAATTACAAATAATCATTAAGGGGATTAAGTCTAAGAAGGACATGAAGCAATTATGCAATCTCCCAAATTAAATACTTCTTATTATAGTCAAAAGGCTACTGAAAATTAAGTATAAATACATAATCAAAGTGATTCAGGATTAAATTAATCACAAGGTTATCCTTAAATTTAACCTTATGTTAATCCAACAAACTAGAACATAAACTGATATCTTCAAAGTGGTATATAAAGTAAAGATTGATTACGATTGAAAAATAAAGATGAATAGATAAGACCTGAATTTAAATAGCTAAACCTTTAATTTAATTAATCTAAACTATACTTTTTTCTTGATATTTTAATCCTGATGGGGTTTTGGGGTTTTGGGG